AACAACAATAATCAATATCATCATGGCAGGCGGCGGCGGGGGCGGGGGCAGGACCAGCCTGGGGACGATCCAAAGGCCTCAGGGGGGCTGCATCTGGCCTTAGGTTGCCTACCCCTGGTGTAGTGGTTTGAGTGTTGGACTGTGACTGTGAAGACCAGTGTTTGATTCCCAGTTCATCCATAAAACCCACTGGGTGACCTTGGGTAAGTTACATCAGAGCAGAGAAGGACATGGCAATGACAGAAAAGAGGAGGAATACAGAAGGAAGGAAGGTCACCATAGGAAGATGAAGAAGCTAGTAGTGATGAAGATGAAGATGGGCTCTCCACCACATCTGCTAGGAATGCCTGGCTTCAGGATGTGGAGTCCTCAAAGGCAGGACACTATGGGAGAGGTTTTTGGGGAAATCACCCATGCTGGACCTGACTACTTCCTCCCCGCTTCACCAGAACTGCTACTTCTCTCTTGTTTGTGCAAATAGGGAGGCTGTCAAACTGCTCCAGGAATGATCTGTTCTGCAAGCCTCCTACAACAATAAGATGTTGACCTCCTGGCAGAGTGATGAGAAAATTATTACCTTCTTTTTTATTCTGACATGGGATGCCACAGCCCACCCCCAACCCCAGATGAAACTGCTTTTGATTCTTTCCATACAGAGGTAACATAAATCAGACATCGATTAAGAACCCTTGAAAACAGCTGCCAAGAGAGCAGAATGTAGAATAAGCACATAAACAAGAGAAATCGCTATTATAAAAGACTTGGTTAATAACACCTGCTTAATTCGCTCTCTGATACTTCCCTGTGGATGGGTAAGGATTCCATTTTGGTTTCTGTTTTCATAAGAATGGACCCAGATTCACTAATGTCCTCCTATTTGGAGGAGGTCTTCCCATATTAGCCTGCCTGAATCTAATAATCTTCAGGAGAAGAGCTTCTCTGCATCCCACCACCCTTACAGTCTCATCTGGCATGGATGCAGGAGAAAGACAGTGTGGTGTAGTGGTTTAAGTGTTGGCATTGAACTATGACTCTGGAGACAAGGGTTCGAATCCCTGCACAGCCTTGGAACCCTGCTGGGTGTCCTTGAGCAAGTCACACTCTCAGTCTCAGAGAAAGGTAAACTTCCTTGGCACATCTTTCCAAGAAAAACATTTGACAGGGTTGTCATAAGTTGGAGCCAACCTAAAGACCCATAACAATAACAGCAAAATAGGGGAGAGAGCTTGGAAATACTTACCAGCTTGCCTTGTCTGCCAGTTCCACTGCCACCACACCAAGCTCCAGGTCAACCTCTATGTCCCTAAAGAAGAAGACAGACCAAGCTCAAAATTTGTCTTCCTGGTAAGGAAATCATTTCCACAAACAGGATGCCAACTCTCCAACCAATTGGATTGGGATCTGTCACTGGCTCCACAAATTTTGAACACAAAAAAAAGACTGAGAAATTCAGGTACATCCCAGTGCCCTGATATGTCTCCATTTAATTTTCCTTCAACAAATCTTGCCAAGGCAATCCTGAGATAGGTTCACCTTAGGGTCACCATAAGTGAGAAATGACATGAAGGTGCCCAACAAGGACAAAAACTTTAAAATCCATTTAAAACTATATCACTTTAAAAGCAACAAATATGAACAATGCAGCACCTTATTAAAAGCTCTTGCTCATAAATATTCAATTCCCCAAGGCTTAATGGAAAAGGGAGGGAGGTTCATCTGCTGTTTGAAGGATCTCATGGAGCAGACCAGTCTCTCCTCTCTAGGAAGGGTTTTCCAGATCCTGGGAACAGCCACCAAGCAGGCCCTTACCTGTCTTCCCATCAGATGTACTTCTGTGAGTGATGGGACCAAGACAAAGGCCTAGCCTGAAAATCTCAAAACTCAAGATCATTTGATTCTGGTTAATAAAATGCTGCAAAATCTTGGCATCTTGCAAGGTGGGCAACATAGGCTGGGGCTCAAGACATTCTGTAGATACAACATCACTCCATATTGCTACAGATTACAATGAGGTCTCCATTTCAGATAGTTTCTTTCTTAAGTGCAGTATACTTTGGCAGAGAGAAAAAGACACTTTGAGGAAAGAGAGCAAGTGGTGTGACATTGAAAAAGTGAGGTCCTTGACTGGAAGAAATTAAATTCCCATTACCGGGCCAACTCTTGCAATCACTTTCTTTGATGATACAATAGCGAACTTCAAGGGTGAGCTGATTTAAGTAAGGATGGAGCTGCCCAAGTGAGACTTCTAGCCCTGGGGCAAGGAGAACCGAAAGGAAAGGAAAACCCATTGCTTCTGAAGAGACGCTGGACACAAATCATCATTTGCAACCCGCCCCAACGGTTGCAAGTGCACTCATTTCTCACAAGCCCTCTGGCCTCACAGTTTGATTAGGAATGATGACCCAAGTCAGGAGGTGTAGCACATTTGGAGATATGCTTCCCTCCAAAAAAGACATTTTCAGTTCTCCAGTCAGGCTATCCCATCATGTCAGATGCCCAGCACAAGCAGGAAAACATGCTGACTGTAGTGGTCAATGGTTTCTACGTCATTTGGAGATGATGAATCTACTCCAAATCCATCTTAGTGGGATGAGGAATCTGATTTGGGTTTTAATCTAAATTTTGGAGGCACTATCCAAGGGGCTCCACCTGTTTTAAGGGAATAAGGTTCAGCATTTTGAATTGCTCCATTAGATTCAGGGAAACATGAGTTGACACCTGTATTAGAATGTATGCATGCTGAATTTAGGGACTCCATTCTGATTAGATTTTGGTCTATCTAAGGGTGCATCTACACTATAAGAATAATGCAGTTTAACACCACTTTAAGTGCTGTAGCTCTACCCTATGGAATCCTGGAATTTGTAGTTTTACAAGGTTTTTAGCCTTCTCTGCCAAAGAATGCTGGTGCCTCACCAATCTGTAAATCCCAAGATTCTGTAGGATGGAGTCATGGCAGTTAAACTGGTGTCAAACAGCATTATTTCTACAGTGTAGATGCACCCAGAGTGTGGGACAGAAATGCATTCATGGCATAGTGGTTTGAACATTCGACTCTGGAGACCATGCTTCAATTCCCAGCTTAGCCGTGAAAACCACTAGATGACCTTAGGCAAGTCACACTCTCTCAGACTCAAGGGAATGGCAAACCACCTCTGCACTCGGATGGCTGATTTGCAAAGTCTGGAAGCACCAGCTGAGCATAGATTTTAGCCAGGTTTTAGGCAGGATGCAGTCAGACAGCAGCTTTGGCGGCATTTTCTGTGTGATAATACCCAGCTGCATCTCGTAAGAGACTTCAAATTAGCAGGGGTAAGTTGGTTTCTTTTAAAATGTGATAAACACCCAAATCTTTCCAAAAAAAACTCCATGATAGGGTTGCCTTAGGGTCGCCATAAGTCAGAAATGACTTGAAGGCACACAACAACAACAACAACAAAGCTGGATCCTTGATTCACCAGTATAATGTTTTAACTTCTGCTGGAGTTACTTCACTTATCAAAGGAATTCCAGACACGCAGTCATACACATTTTTGGATAGTGTATAACTATTTTTAACTTAAATCCACCCCTTTATTCCCTCCAATTGCAGAAACAGCACTGTGTGATCCCCATTGCATAATGGGACAATAAACAGGCACAATGACAGATGACACCCAGTGTCAGTATTCAGAAGAAGGGTAGGTTAGGATACCTACCTTATAACTACATGCATGACCATTTGCGCAATGCAAGCAGGATGCAGGATCTCAAGCAGAAATCTAGCTTTCCTTTAATTTTCTTCCTCATTTCAACCCTGTTGCAGTGATTGATTTTCAAATGCACTGAAAGAGAATGTGGGCTTGGAACATGCATTTTTTTAAAAGAAGAAAACTGATTTAATAGTGAGAAATGGAAGGCACACCTCACCTTATGCACACATTCCTTGTGAGCTACCAGTTCCCTGATAGGATATTTATTCAAAAAGTTGTGGGGGGGGGAAATGAAAAACAAATCTTGAGTATGCAGCTGTCTTTCCCTTTGCCAGCTCTACAATACTCAGGGAGGAAGGGAGATGGTAACGTAGGTAACCCATCTCCCAACAAATGGCAGCCCTGCCTTTCTATCTAATGAAATGGAAATAACACCCTAATAGCACCCTGCGTACAGCTGGGGGTATATAATTTAATGGGTGAATGTGCGCAAGAAAACTTTGGGAATGGTAAACATCCCCCTGTAGCATCATTTTTTCCCAAGCACCAAATTATATGTTGCTGGAATGATCTTTTTAGAGAAATGTGCAGGTGAATGGTCAGGAGAAATAGAACCGGCAATGCACCAGCCCCGCTTATGACAGCTAGATAAGCAAAGTGATGTGAGTTGATGTTCGTCAAACATGCCTTCCCTTGGAACATGTTTTTTGGTAGAATTTAAGGTCACAAGGAGGACAAGTAAAGATGGCACCTGACTGATGGTGATGGGATTTTTTTCCCTTTTCTTTTCCATTCAAAGGTGGTACTCAGCCAGCAATAGGTCAAGTATACCAGATCAAATTTCATAGAAAAAAAATTTGCACTGATAAACACCCAAGGACAAAAATCCTTATAGTTACGTACTCACACATAACTTGAGGTTGTGTTGCTGTTCTGTGCCTTCATTTCCAACTTATGGAGAACCTAAGGCGAATCTATCATGGATTTTTCTTGGCAAGATTTGCCATTGCTATCCTCTGAGACTGAGAGAGTGTGACTTGCCCAAGGTCACCCAGTGGGTTTACATGGCCCAGCTGGGACTCAAACCCTGATCTCCAGAGTCATAGTCTAATGCTCAAACCACTACACCACACTGGCTCTCTAACGTGAGGTTAGCCATGTTTATGTCTTGTTTGGGATGGAGTTCGCTAGCCTCTTAGACTCCATCCAAAAACTTCTCTTTTCTAGGCAGCTGACAAACTCCATGGGAGGCAGCTGTGACCATTTAGTGGCAGAGGGGAAGGAAAGATGTTGGGAGCAAAGCAACCAAGAACTGAGGACTGTTCCCTCTTCCCATTGCAGTCCTCTAGAGAGAATGGTGATAACCAACATATGTCAACAGAAATGGAAAACAAAATGATGGCCAGCAGACTGGAAGCGATCAATATACATCCCCATCCACAAAAAGGGAGACACAAGAGACTGCAGCAGCTATGGAACCATAGCACTGAACTCTCATGCAAGCAAAATCATGCTCAAATTCTGCAACATAGACTCCAGCCATACATGGAAAGAGACATCCCACAGGTCCAAGCAGAATTCAGGAAAGGAAGAGGCACTAGGGACCACACTGCAAATATACAATGTCTAATGGAGTGCAGAATGGATGGAGCCTTGGCAATTAAAGTAGCATTAAGCTGCATTTTTTTCCTGCAGTTTTGATGCACCCTCTGTGCATGAACTGAAGAACAGTCAAAAACAAGTAGACCTATATGAGTAAGGAAACTTATACAGGTGTAGGATGCTAAAAGAATCCCAGCCACTGTGTTTTTTCCATCTGTGCTAAAGCTTCCAGATGATAAGGAAAATTCCCTTTCCCTGCCAGCTTGGTCTCCCAACAAGATCAATGTTTGCAACTGATGTTATATGTCTGTCAAAGCAGAGAAGCTATGCCTCTTCAGGTTTATTTCCCATGTGTTTTGTGGCTTGGCAGCCCCCGAAAATGTGATTTTTTTTTTAACATGACCCAAATATTTCTTCTGTTACCATGGATTCCACAATCTTTTTTAAAGAAACATCTTACACTGACATTACTTGTGGGCTACTGCAACCTGTCTATTATTTTTATGCACTTCTTTGCTAGAGAAGGACTGAGGCTGCTTGTAATTAGATGCTGTTTTAAAGAAGTAGCCTAAAACCATCATGCGTACCACCAGTTAAGAGGGAGCGAGCAATGCGTCAGTACAATTCTACATGTACCCATAATTTTCAAAAATTAAACCATTGACAGTTTAATGGTTAGGTGAAAAAAATCTCATTTTTGTGCATTTTTACAGATTTTTGTTTTTAGCTGAAGGGAATCCCATGAGAGCATCCAGTCTGACCCTTGCAGATG